CTTTTGAGGGTAGGTCAGTCGTTGGGCTCCCGTGATCAAAAGTTAAGTTTCTACCCCAGTCAGAATTTTGAAAAAGCCTCCATTACGATGTCAGAATAGTATCACAGTCTGTCAAGCTATGAGTAACGTGCTTTCTGACACTGCGTCAACTATATATATATACAAAGGTTGGTAACGATTGCACAATATCAAGAGTATCAAATAGAGATCTCTAAAGATATAGTCTAGAAGAAGAAACTTTCTAACACTAAAGCACTAGAATGTCAATGCAGCAGTTTGTATATGTATATGTAGTAATGTTAACTATCAAAACAGATGTGACAGAGAGTAAACAGGTTGTATTACACAATGAAAACAATTTTTAATAAAATGGAATCGGGTTAAGAAACGTAGATTCTTGCAGTGTACCTTTGCGATATTCTGAACTTTAGAGCCATCATAAGCAGGAAACACACACCCATTAGGCCGCGGCATGTTCACTCCATAATTATGGTTTATGTGTTTCTAATGACTGACTATGTAGTAACACCGCTACACTATAAGAAACCGCTGAATAAACGAATACTGAACAAGTAATTGGACAAGAGTGGGCTTTCCTGTGACCTCATCACATTGACAAACAAGTGCCGCAGACGACAGGTCATCGTGGTGCTGGTGTTCTGCTGATGAACTTCATTTCGTGCCATAGCAAGATGTCCTATACATACGTTCATTTCTAACCCAAAAGAATAAGACACTGCAAAACTAGTAAGTAAAATTCCGGATAGATGGCGGCGGCCGCCGCTATCAAGGGGAGGCATCGTTGCATCGGTCAGCCAAAAGCATTGCAGGTCAATGGCCGCTGTCAGTGTGTTGTGACGACAATATTGCAAATAAGCAGAGCGAATATTACCATTATATTACTATACATTTAACGTGCGTTCTATTGTTCAGGTAATAAGGTACATTAAACCCCTGCGAGGCACATTCTGGCTCGTTAAAAATAGCTCAATTGTTGATACAACCAGAGGCCAGAGCAGCTCCGTGCAAGATTACAATTTACAGCAATACGATAGGCAAGAATATCTCTAAAACTAATTTCAGTACAAGGTAGGCCAGTGATTAGTGGACCGAATAAGCTCAAGAACGTACACACTTGGCTCTATATTGGTGCCAAAATTTGGATGAGAAAATTAAGTCTGGGAAATCCGCAGGCCTCACTCCTGGGTAATTATGATTGCTAGTGACTGCTATTCCAACTATTCATAATGACACTACAGAATCTATATATATAAGTCATGTCATTATCTCCTAAGTAGCGTGTTCAAGTAAGAGTTATTGTGTGGAATTTCACTGTAAATGGGAGCTTTGCCACACCCACAGGTACGCACGCCGCCCAACGCAGTTGAGAGAAACAAATCCATGTTTAACCCTCCTTCTTTGATGCCGTCAAAAGGTTATCCGACACTTTACTCTTCGCAATGCAGCGAAAGTACATTTCATTGGTCCTTCATAAAGCCATAACAAATGCGTAGACGCACCGCTGAAACAAAAAAGTTTTTCAATCGCTCCGTCAGACCATATCCTCAGAAAATGTCTAAAATCTGCCCTGTGCGCCCATTGACCCTTTGACCTGTGACCTCCACTTTCGGCACAGTGATGGGCTTTTCCTACCATGATGCTATACACCGACTACGCACGAGCCTAGGCGCAGCCGTTTAGATTTTGTGCCGCAAATTCTGCATTTCCTCCCTATACCTTAAGTTAAGGGTGTGAATGTTCCCTTCTTTTACACCTGCTTGCCGTTTGACCTTTGACCCCCAGCCTTCGACATCCGCAACCTCTTTCTGTTTTCGGATTACCCCCCCACGTCCCAATATCTTGACCGTACTTCGAGCGGTTAAGATTTGTGCCCAACTGTTGACGGATAACGTACGGCACGGCGTACGGACGGTCGACGGGGACGATCATGCGATTCTACAAGCTGCACCTGACTACGTCAGATGAGCTAAAAATACAGCTTATATTTATAATACAAACCTCGACTGAAGTTTTCTTACATCATTTGAGCTGGTAGCAACATTTTGGCTTGACATTATCCACTTCAGAATATGGTCAAGATAATCTTTTTCAGATTCATCTTTCTTGATAAAGTTTTCGTAGCCTGACCGCAGATCGAAATGCACATTGTAGTTGTTTTCAGGCAGGATGCAAAATTTTAATGCGCTGTCACCATTCACATAGTGTTTGTGATCGTCCAGAGAAAAGCACCCCACTTCTGCTGGTTGCTTGTAAAATGGGAATTTTTTCTTCTCGAGATCTGACACATCAAAGTTAAACTGTGGAGCTTCTTTAGTCGTGCTTTGTTCTGCTCTATTATTACCATTATTACTATTAATAGTATTACTAGAAGTAATACCACAGTGTGTAGCTGGTGCTGAATTGGTGGGCGCAATACTTAGTGCTGAATCAGTACTTATGCCTATGGCAGTTATGCAATGTTGATCAATCCTGTGTCTGGGACTATCCGGCTTCCCAGCTACCGTGTCGCACGGGTCTAGATCTTCGACTTCGAGTTTGGCACATTTTACCGGTTTTCGTGATCCTGATCCTTCAGTAATTGAACCACTGTATAGAGTGTTTCTTTTCATGTTTTTTAATTATAACTAAACTTTGCTTTCCTTTCATATATTAGTATTTATTACTACTAAAAGTAAAATTCAACTCTTGTTGACGAGACACATTTTCCATTCTCCCGCGATAGGCGGCGACGTGTCGGGGAATTCCAGCCAATCACAGACACTGAACCATAGAATCCAATATGGGAGCTAAGTGACTGCTTTTTCTTAAATGTTTCTCAACATTTTCTGCTAAAAATATATTATTTCTGTACATATCATTTCAAGGCACACCGTAAGTATAAATAACAAGATATTTAAGCTATCTGAGGAAGCTGAGATTTCAATATTTCTTATTTGCAGAGAAATTGGTTTGTTTTTTGAGGTGCGCTGCGCTTTATCCCATTCATTCACTGTGACTGATTCAGCCATTCTCACCCATACTCTAGTCTCTAGCTCCAAGAAACGGTCTTGCTAGGGTTAGAAGACCGTTTTAAACATTGGCTGCAGCTAAACACGTAGTTGTCTTATTTGCCAAGTATCGCCAATAAACACTTCACATGTGATATACCAAATGATTCAGCATACAATGCCATACATTCACCTTCTTGTATTTGTTTTCTTGTAACCATCAGTGCGCTACTAATCGGTACTATGCGCTGGGTACAAGTTTACGGAGTTACGGGGTTACAACTTAGGGCGTGGATATTCGTCCGAGCATCGGACACCTGTTCGTATGCGCTATTCGTCCGAGCAGTTGTTGCGCATGAGCTGTTCATGTTGTATTACATAACGACGTGGATATTCGTTCGAGCATCGGACACCTGTTCGTATGCGCTATTCGTCCGAGCAGTTGTTGATGTAGCGTGCCGCAGGCGCACGGGGCGCACGGCCTCTAGTGCCGGAGATAGGAAGTGTGAATGGGGGGCTGGGGGGTTTCCCCCCAGCCAATTTTAAAATCTAGACGCTCTAAATTTTATTATATTATATTATATTAGGCTTATATTTTGCCCTTTAGGCTTTTTTCCTTGCGTTTTGCTACGCAGCCCTACGGCTGTGACGCCCATGCATACATACGTTGCGTATGTGGTTATACACCATAGATAGTGTTTGGTACTATCATTCGCCTATATATAAGCAAACCGAGTCGGTTAATAATTAGTGGTAGGTTTAGATTGTGGTTAGTATTAGAGTTAGGTTAGAGTTAAATAATTAGTGGTAGGTTTTGATTGTGGTTAGTATTAGAGTTAGGTTGGAGAGTAGGCGACTCCCTAGACTAGCATCATTATATTACATTTATGTAATACAACATGAACAGCGCATGCGCAGCAACTGCTCGGACGAATAGCGTATACGAACAGGTGTCCGGTGCTCGGACGAATATCCACGTCCATTACATAAATGTAATATAATGCTAGTCTGCGCCTACTCCCTAACGGTAACCACTCCTACTCTCTAACTCTAACCCTAATCCTAACCCCAGCCCTAACCCTAACACTAACTATAAACCGACTCGACTAGTGGTGCCCCCGGACACCCCGTCCTTGTGCAAACCGAAGGTTTGAGTTCATATATGCAGTGGCACGCTCCCCCTACTGGCAATTTAATATGGGAATTCACTGGGAATTCGTCTAATCT